GTACAATGTATACACAAGGTGTAAAAAGTTTCAAACCGATTTACTGCCCAACTTTCAGAATCATGGCACAATATGCATGGGAGATTTTAGTGCTAGACATTCTTCATTTGGTGATAGTCAATGTAATGAAAGTGGCGAAGAATTCAGACATTTTGTGAACAACAGATCTATGACCGTATATGATACAGATAAGAAAAATGTGGCAGGGGGCAGGCTAGATTATGTAATAGGAAGGGATCTTGTGCATGGTAACGTCAGATGCATGCTTGCAACATAATTAATCAGTGACCACTTTGCAATAGAAACGAGATAGGCTGAAAATCTCTATTCCTTCTTACCTTGAGCACCACTTTAAATCATGCATCTATGATTGGTATAACGAATACACAGTAACGAGTGTTGATCAGTTCTCCGTGGATATGACGAAAGTGGTCACTGATTACTACAACACTTGGGTCTGTCCAAAGAAAACCTTAAAGAATAATAACTCACAACCCTCGAAACGACCTAAGTGGGTCGGTGACCCCATTTTATCAAGGGAACAAAAGCGAGTTCAGGAGCTTCTTAATATCTACAGGCAGGACAAGACCTGTGACAGCCTCATACAATTTCTTAGGGCTAACAAAAATCTATGGGAATTAAAAACTCAAATTAGAAATGAACACTTTGAACAGTTCCTACAAAGCATTAACAATAACACTTCAATGTCTGAGGTCTGGAAAAAAAATAATCGTCTTTCAGGCAAACCGAATAATTCTCCACAGTTTCATAGTCCTCTTGCACAGGCCGATATGCTCCTTAGTCAGTGGGCTGGAGCGTCCAAATTGAGCTCACTTCCCACAAATATTCAGAATCGCCTTAATCAGTCTAAAGTTGCACGGAAATTTGCTATAGAGATTGGATGTTCTGATTCCGACATTTCCGAATCTGCTGAGATTAGTGAGTGGGAATTGAACAATACACTAAGCAAAGGCAAGGCGTCCGCCTCAGGTGAAGATGGAATTACCTATAGTGTCCTCCGCCTTATAGCCCATGTACCTGGTAATCCCCTTTTGCACCTGTACAGACTGAGCTTGTCACAAGGTATCCTACCTGACTCCTGGACGCGCAGTCTAATCATTCTTATACCGAAACCAAACACTGATAAACACCGTCCGATTTCACAAACCTCATGTTTATGAAAAGTCCTAGAAAGGATAATTTCAAACAGACAGGTACAGGTTACAGGGTAAATTATTTCACAGACTGTACGGATTCTTACCGGGACGCAGTACACAACATTGCTTTGCAGAGTATTTTTCAAGCTCTAACCCAGGGAAGCACACTGTTTTTCTTGATCTTAAGTTAGCTTTTGACATTGCAAACAGAGAAGTCATTCTAGAACAATTGGCAAGCTTTGGCATACGAGGTAAATTATTGAGCTGGATTAGAATGTATCTTTCTAACAGATCCGCAAGTGTCTTGTTCATGGGAGTGAGTTCCACCTCACAGCCCTTTGAACTTGGGACGCCACAGGGAGGAGTTCTCAGCCCTATGCTGTTCAATGTCCTTATGCACAAAATGGTGACAGATATTCCACTTGGGGATGGGGAATCTATTATGTTATGCTGATGACATATGTGTCAGAGCATCATCATATGAAAGAATGCAAAGAATTCTCGACGAACTCACAACAAGGGCACATGAGTGTGGAGTAGTCATCTCTGCTGAAAAAAACAATGGCTCTCAACCCGGGTATTATATCCCCACCCACGTTTCACATAGGAAACCAGGAGCTTGACATGTGTTATAAGTATAAATATCTCGGGGTGAACGTAATTGATGCAGACCTGATCACTTCTCTGAAGAAGAGACTCTGGGAGAGATTGAAACCGCTGAAAGTCCTTGTCGGAAAGGGACATGGCATCACTATTAAGCTCGCTAGATTATTTTACTTGGCCTTTATAAGGTCAGTTGTAGACTACCATGCACTGCACTTACTGCAGTATAAGGACTCAGATATAAATAGTTTGGAGATAGTACAAAACCAAGCTATGAGGATTATCCTCGGCGCCCCGAGAACAGCAAGGATAGTGAACATAAGAGCAGAACTAAACTTACCATCCATTTTTGATAGAATAATATATATTTGCACTCTGTTTGGGGTCAAAGCCCTGAGGGAACCCTTGTATCTCACATATTTCCAAAAACAGCTGGAACATAAAATCACGCAAGCAGACGAGGCTAATCAGACACACGAGTTTTCTCTGGTACACAATATCTGCATGAACATTACCAAGCTTAACGTCCCCATAAGTAAGATACCAAAAGGTCGATCCAAGGTTCCCCCATGGAAAAACTGTATACAAAAATGGCTTACTGCAACATCAAGTTCATAGGAGAGTACAAAATTGGGCCAGCACCACTCACACGGAGTTGGCAGGTATACTCCTTGCAATAGAATACTTAATGTCTCGGGGCTCTGGAGTAGTTTTTTGTGATTCTCAAAGCGCTATTCGGACACTAAATTCCTTCAAAACAGATGGTGATGAGGGAATTGTGAACTGCATTAAACGTAACGTAACTTATGCAAGAGAGCGCAATTTTAACATTCAATTTGTATGGATACCATCTCATGTTGGTATACGCAAGCACGACCATGTAGACAATTTGGCGAAAGAGGCTTGTAGCAAAGATATTGTAAATATAGATCTTGGGATGCCTCTTGCTAGGGTTGCACACATATTAAAAAGTTCTCACAAAGAAGAACTGATAGATCTGACGAGTTCACAAAGGCCTGAAAGCTGTAGTATAAGGCACTACGATCAGTATAGAGATTGTAAGCCCTCCTATGGGTGGCACCGAAGTAAAACCAGACAATGTGACGTGGTTATTGCCAGAATACGTGTAGGTTATAGAATGTACTGGCAACTGCAAGGTGCAAGAAGTGCAGATAAATCTAGATGTAGACTGTGTAACGAGGAAAATAAGCGAACGCTTGAGCATTAGATCTCGGAGTGCCATGTGATTCAGCCTTTCAGACCACCTAACATGAGGTATAAAGAACTGTGTGATTATTTTATAGAATCTGATACATTGGAAGATAAACTCATGCTATATCCTAATTTTACTATGTAAAACTATCATAATCATAGAACGCACCACAGAACACACTTATGTAAACACAAAGGCAAAGGTAGATCAAAGGTAATATACGTTTGCATGCTGTATGACATATTCCCATTTTACCATGTATAGTTACTGTAATCACAGAATACTGTACTTTGTCGAATGTATGTGAATATATGTAACACTCTGTAATCACGATTGCCCACGCCAGAGCAGTTAGCCAGGGTGGTAAATAAATTTACTTAACTGAATTCCCATGAAAGTCGAAAAACGAGTACATTGTGGTGTAAAAATATGTATAAGGTGTATAAGCACATATAGATAATTTTCGTGTACCCCATGACCTTTTGTTATTTTATATTGTTACTTCCGTTTGTTTTTTTTGTTTGTTTGTAGATTGTTTATTTATTGTTTTTTGTTTGTTTGTGTTTTCTAATATTTCTAAAAGTTATAAACACATTTTAAAGAGATTTTAACCAAAGGTGTGTTTTAACCTAACTTAGACACTTATTGCACTTGGGTGGTGATGTGGACCATAACTCGAAAAGTTATGAACAGATTTGAATTAAAAAAAAAAAAAAACTGAGGTTTGTCTTAGCCTAATTAATATTCCATAACATAAAACTACCCCCCATGGGGGGGGAGGTTTGCATTTTCGAAATGTTTTGCCCATAGATCAAACTGTGTATGATGAAAACATAAAGAAAAGAAAATACACCATATGAATGGCATATCATGTTTATTTGTATGGAAAATTGCCGGATTTTTACAATTATTCCGAAAAAAAAAGGTTTGCTCATGTGAAATTTGATAAGCTTTCAGAAAATAATTAATTTTTTTTATCTCTAATCATTGCGTCACAGTTGCCGTTTTTCTAAGGTAACGTGAAAAAAATAATATTCCAGTAGACATCGAAAATCGCTGCTACCACCTAAAAAATACGGTCGGGCCTTGAAATTTTCAGGGGAGAACCAGGGCCTAGAAACTCCTTGAAAATGCATTTAACTCAATTTTGGCAAGATGGGCGAAAATTGCGAAAAAAACAGACGATCCCCTTCATCAGGAGTTTGCCAAAGTGGATAGACGAGCCGTTAGCCTTAGTCAGTGTTCACGATGGCCTCGAAAGCCTTACACGCGCTTCTCTAAAGATTGTTTTAAATAAACGTCGGAACAACGAGGAAAATTCATGGAAAGAAATGAAGGTGGAAGATATCGTTTGGATCTTTGCTTTCTATAGGTATAACTGACCAGAAAACAGAACATCGGAATCAAATCGTATCGTATGCGGCGGGGAAAAGTCGATGTCTCATTTGTTCTTCCTGAAATCGGGAAAACAAGTGCGGCTGCAGCCAAGCAGCGAAGAACGGAGCGAATTAGAGCATTTTCTGAGAGACAAAGTCACTGCTTAAAAGAATCAACTTGTTATCGAGAATAAGAGATTAGATATTGAGATGTCTAAGGTTCTATGGAAAATGCAATCAAAATTTCTATTATGTTACTAGAAACCTAATAAGAATTTCTAACATGATTAATAGATTCTAGCTTTTTATTAGAAATCCAATAAATTTTTCTAAAAATCTTTTAGAAACCACTGAAAATTTCTCGCCTTCAGTATAAAGCTATTAAATATTTCACTTGAAACGTTTGGAAAAGAGGAATAATTATGCATCACTAATCAAGATTTCTTGCCATTCACTTATAAACTATCCACAATATGCAAGACATCTATTTTTTATTATTTGTACATGTACATACGAAATTTGGACAGTATTATTTGGTCGTCACTTTTCTTTCGACAACACCCAAGATTTTCAGTCTTGCAATCACTAAAATGCAACACATAATCTATCAAATTTGACATTAAACAGTATTCACGTTAAAAAAGTACTCACAAGTTCCCAGAGGGGCACCTCAGCCACGGCGGAAACGCAAAGGGCTGCAAAAAGGAACACTGTTGTCGCGCTCATGTTTAAGGCACAAAAGCTCGTGCAAGAGTGAGGCTTGTGAACGGCAGTTTGGAAATACATAGATGATCTGATGACGCAAGGACTTCGTTGTATTGGTAAGACGAAGGGGGAAGGGGGGGGGTTGGCATTCAGCTGTTTGGAAACACAAGTTTGCTATTGCTGGGAAGGGTGTGGCTGCTTCCTTGTTTTGAAATATTTGCGAAATGGAGAGAGAGAGACTGCGAGTGTGAGCGCTAATATGGATGGGAGTCGGAGTCAGAGTGAGAATAAGAGTGGGAGTGGGAGAGTGTTTACACACACACAAACACTTATACACACACATATATACATAATATAAATATACATATATATACATAACATTCAAGTATATATATATATATATATATATATATATATATATATATATATATATTTTATTATATTTATATATGCATATATGTATGTGTGAGTATATATACATACATACATATATATGTATATATATTATATATATACATATATATACACACACATGTATATTTGTCTGTGTGTGTGTGTGTGTGTGTGTGTTTGGTGTAGGTGTGTCAATATACATACACATACATATATATATATATATATATATATATATATATATATATATATATATATTATATATATATATACAACATACACACACATGTATATATATATATATATATATATATATATATATATATATATATATATATATATATATATGCATATATAGAAATCTATGTATATGCATACATATATACTTTTTTTTTGTATCCCGAGTTTCGCACATACATACATATATATACATACACATATATATACACACATATACATATATACATACATACACGTAAATAAGTAGCGCCCACTTTCCTTCTCTCGAAGATTGTCAATATTTCACCTAATTCTTTGGAATACTCTGACGTCATCAAGAGTACAAAGGTTACTATGACCAAATTTCAAACTTACAGGTACTTGAGCAAAGGGGAATATCACACAAATAAATTGTCATAAATCATTACAGTATCAATCATTCCCATTCATCTATGATATTTCAACTCGTCAACTGAGCGTATTCCAACCTTATTTGTCCTTTCTTCTTTCTTCTCTCTTTTTTGCTGAGGAATCCTGCTCTTGTTATAGTTTCCATCATCTCAGAGGATTCCTGAAGTTTATCTCTCTCCTTATCCGGAGCACATAAGAACCCATTAACTCTGAATGAGTTTTAAATCCTCAATGTTACATGAGGTATGTCATCAATTCAACAATTACTTAAATAATCTATTTACAATTAATTTAAATAATTGATAATGGAATAAAATCCCTGATGGACTTGGAAAAATAATCAATAACATATAATGAAAGATGAATAATTACTGACAATGTGACAATGACTTTAATGAATTAGTTTATTCATAAAAAAAATAAAATACAATTAAGGAAAGAATTCTTAATTGATAGTGAGCTTTGAAGAAAATAGATTCATGGAGTAAATGATAAATAAATAAACAATTAACAAAGTTAATGGTCACAATAAGTTAAGGACATTAATGAGTATTATAATATGGAATGAAAAATGAATGAATACCAATGAATGAACCATAAGAATCTTCACTATCACTAGTGGTACTTTAACACAAGAACTGATGTTGTTACGTGGTATTTAGCCGTTCATATCAGGCCACATCCTTAAGATTTTACTTCTCGTCTGTGATTTTTGGCTGCCGCATTATTAGAATTAGAGTTCAGCGGAGCTGAGATGATGATGATGGTTGGCCCGAAAATAAGTGGGTATTGCTTGTTCACAGTGCATTTGTTGGCAGAGCTCAATAGGATTTCTCAGTTGTGGATTTGGTACAGTCACAATATGATGTTGTTAAGCAGGCCGTGTTAAATGTTTATAAAAGCGTACCAAAAGCTTATAGGCAAGATTTCCGTAACTACCGTAAGGATGGTGAACAAACATTTGTTGAATTTCTCCGCCAAAAGCTTTTGTGTACAAAAAAAAAGGGTCGAGAGTGAATTTGATGCACTCGAGTACGATAAATTGCTCTAGCTTTTTATATTTGATGTTAAGAGATGTATACCTGTAAAAGTTCGCTCTCACATTGACGATCGTGGTGTATGTTCATTAGCTGAAGTCGGTTGTGCCGCCAATCATTTCGCGGTCACTAATCCGAACTACTCTTGCAGATCAAATAAGCCTTTATTCCAGTCTCACCAGCATGACGGTAAGAGGATGGATTTTAATTCCAGGTGGACTGAACTGCCAGATACCCACGGGACTATTCACACAAAGTCGTCAAAAACAGGTGGTGATGGGAGTAGGAATGTTGCTTCTCGAATTGAGAATTATTTTCATATTGCAAGAAACAAGGTCATGTCATAAATGACTGTTTGAATTGGCAAATAAGCATTCATTTGACAAAGACAAACCTATTTTAACATTAATGTTCATAATCCAACAAAGGTTGAATCTAAATATTCTGGTGATAAACATAATCTTGGCCTTTACCTTTTTCCATGATTGAATCTTCATGACTCGGCTGCAGATATATATTTGGTGATCAAGGAGGCTGTTCCTAACCCTGACTGTTATATTGGAGAGATGGTAATTATTAGTGGACTGATAGGGTCCATGGGCATACCCATATGTAAAACCTAGATTGAATGTGAATTGTTAACTGGTTATATAAGGTTAGGTGTTGATAGGATACCAAGTGATGGCATTTCGCTTCTCATGGGTAATGATCTCGTTGGTGATAAGACGTGGCCTTGCCCTGTGTTTTCACTTTGTCCCACTGAAGAGAGTATCCTGTCCTCTTCCCTGCGTGTGCTGTCACCCGGGGTGCAAGTCGTAGGACCTCCCTTCCCATCAAGGTGCTTAACCCTGGTAGAACTTTACCTGAAGAGAAACCTTCTGATATATTTACTGAAAATTCACACGCAGATTTCTTCAATTCATCTGCCAAAGTTTTACGTGAATTTGCTTGTGATTCTGATAAAAAGAGTTTCAAAGATACTCCAGTCACTCAAGAAATGCTCATTAAAGAACATAAGGATCCTGATTTGCAAGCATTTTATGATACGCTTACTGGCATAAGTGAAGAAGATTTCAGTACGTTATCTCCAGTCAGGTGTTATGCGTAAATACAAGCCCTCGAATATACTGCAGACAAAACGAGTAAGAATGTTATGAAGGCCTTGATTTTTTTTTATTTATTTTTTTTTACTCAGGTGGGTCTGCCTACCTTAGTACATTCAGATAAAGGAGATAAAGGATCACATTTCACTTCCAGACTATATGAAAAAGTAAGGAAGTCCTTGGGTATACAACAGTGCAGGTCCACCGTGTTATCATCCTCAAAGTCAAGAGGTAGTTGAAAGATTTCATACTTTAGAAACTATGATTAAACCCTTCTGTTTAGAGACTGGTTCTGAGTGGGATGAAGGAATAAATTTGCTTTTATTTTCAGTAGGGGACAGTGTTCTAGATAGCTTTGGTTATTACCCATTTCAGTTAATTTACGGCCATGAAGTGCGTGGACCACTAAAACTGTTAGAAGTGTTGGTTAAATGAAGATTTTCATGTGAAAGCAGAGATTACAAACGGCCATTTCAATAGCTCATAAATACTTAGTTCATACTAGAATGAAAGAACATTTTGATCAGGTAAATGATGCTGAGGTCAGAAAATTCCATAAGGGTGGTTTAGTATTTGCGTTAACTCTTCATAACCAGCCTCTTCGGCCTCGCTATGCGGGTCTATTTCATGTTTCAGAACGATCTAGTAATGTTAATTGTGTACTGGGAAAGCCTAAGGCACGCAAGAAAGAACGTTATGTGCATGTGAATCTCCTGAAGAAGTACTATGAATGGGATGATCTAAAGGAGAAGATGGGAAACATACGTGAGGTATCAGTGGTACTACCTTCTGCAAGGTGGCATCCTACATCCCGCCATCTCCCTGTAGCCGACCCCCGCAACCTGCAGCGATGCATACTTCCCCCAGGTTGGGTCCAGGTCCACAGCCTGTCCTCTCGCCCTCACCATCAGCAGCTTCTCGACGACGCATACCGAGACCTGATTGGTTGACCACGGACACCTCACGGCTCGCCTATTGGACCGCAGGCTCCCCTCGTTCCCGGGTGGCTGGCACAGCTCAGACCCACTTAAGCTCCCGCACCCGGGCCGAGTTGATCAAATAAGGGCTTACCTGGACCTCTAGGTGCCAAGGTTTTTTGTTGTTGCTTTCGTGGGAGGCTAAAGAGAGCGATTTGACACCCCCACGGCGAGCTCGACGATCTGGCCCTTGTGCTGATAACTTTGGGTGTTATCGTGCACTACCTTGCTTTGAGGCTAGTGATTTTAATTGTAAGCCCAGGGTGCTTGCAATTAAAATCACGAAGCACTATCAAATCAGCTCTTTTACTGCGAGGTGTCGGCCGGACATATAAGGGCTCTGTCCCGTTCGGCAGGGTCCCGACCGACCCTAACACACAAAGAGAGCTGTTTTGCCAGTGTGCCTTCCTTTTTTGAAACCCATTTCCACCCTTTCATCGTCCTGTCATTAGCCTCGGCTAGATTCCCTACCTCCCATCATCATCACCCTTACGCGATGCCACCATGGGTCACGTAATCAAATTATCATACTCTGGAGAGCCCATCTCCTGTGAGGTGGCTCTCCAGAAAATCTTCTCTATCACAGAAGTTGCTGTCACGCACTGCTTCAAAGTGCATAATGGCTACAAAGTTGTTGTTGCCTAGCAAGAACAGCTGACCCCTTTCCTTTCGACTACTGGCCAGAGAAAACTCGCTGAACATGGTTTTAAACCTCTCCCCTCCCCGGAAACGAAGGCTAAGTGCACGGTCGTGGCTAAAAAGATCGACAAGACAATCCTGCCACGATCGTGCCAAGCCATCCAGGAGGAAGTCAGCACCATGAACGATGTCACTGTGGTGGATGTTTACAAACCACCAGAGTCGCGAATCCTTAAGATTCGCTGCTAAGCCCCCGAGGAAGCACAGAAGCTTCTCTCCCGTGGAATCGT